GCTCTATAAGGCCGTGGGGGCAGGGTTCATAAAATCTCTGCCCTTAAGTTATCATCGAAAGAGTGGAATGTCTGCAGTATACTGTACAAATCAAGCAAAATTAAGTGCTGCTTGGTGAATGTGCTCTAGGAGGTTAAGGTGAAAAGTTGACAATGACTGGATTCCCTTGGGAAAGATTCATGGAAAAGGACTAAACTGGGTTTTGAAGGGTTAATTGGATCTCCATCTGAAAGCAGAAGGCAGTGAAAAATAGATTCATCTCCTGAATCCAGTAGCTCACCTACATTCTCTGGGCTCAACTTACACTTTCAGCCACTGCTATCACCACCAGCTGTGAGCAAGAAAAGTTTGGCTGTGCTATATGTGTCTTCAGATGCCCTAGCAGCACTTGTTTTCTGTACCCTGCTTCTCTGCCATCATTGCCGATAGCAATCTGCTCAGCCCCCCGATACATATGCATACCCCAAGGAAACTAACCACCCAAAGAAAACACTGTGTCAACAGAGAGCAGAAGTCAATGGATTCATATGTCCTCCTTCCACCCTAGGGCCTCCCAAGTCTAAGACATAGTCTCCGATCCCTAGGGAGGACAGAGCTCTATTTGCTCACAGTGATGATAAGTAATATACTCATGGATTGGCTTCCCTTTTTCCTGCTTAAATCTTCACAGAGCCCAAGCCTCCAAGTCCTATTTTGGAGCATCACACTCCAAATCAACTAACTAAGCCGACGTCCTTGCTTTGAAGGGAACATGAACTTGTTGTGATTGCAGGTGTGGGAGTGGTAGAGTGCTTGCCTAGTGAGACAGTTCATCTTAACTATCAACATCCTTGTCTTGGGAGTCACCAAGGGACCATGGAGGCATAACGCTGGGGTCTATATCTGGTCCCTCAGCCCTTTCTCTCTGACCCTGTTCCCCTGCTGTGCTTCCCAGCCACCATAGGTTGAACAGCTTTTCTCCACCAGGCTGTTCCACAATGTCATTTCTGTCTTGGGAGCCAATTAACTATGGACTAAATCTTCTGAAGTCATAAGCCAAAAGAAACCTCTCCTCTTTTAAGTTACAAATATATCAGGTATGCTGTTCCAGCAACGAGAAAGCTGACTGATATACTTAGCATGTGCAAGGCCTTGGGTTCAATCTGCAGCACTGAAAAATAAAAAAGAATGCACTTGTTGCTTTTTCCCTGCATCATTGAAAAGTAGGTAGTCCAGAGACAAGAGATAGTTAAGTGATATGGCACAGGGAGAGAGAGTAGATTCTCTCTACTACACAGACTTCACTTAGAGTCAGCAAGGAGTCTTTAGGGAGCTCCCTAGGCCTGTGTAGTGGGGAAACTCACAGCTGTGTGGTAAGAGGCCCTTCACTGAAAGCAAAGTAGCCAAGCCCTTATCCCTTTAGACTTCTGTGAAAACTGAAGGAAGCTCTTGTATTCCAAGGCCCAGGACAGCTGGCAGAGAGAAAGCAACCGTCAGCCTTCTTGCAATATCTCCATGGGATCCTGTCTGTACCTCCCTCTTTAAGTCCCCAGATCCTACCACTAAACTTGGATTTTCCCAGCATCTCTAGCTTATCCCGAGGTTGGCATGTATTTTGGTTGCAGATAGCTAAGCTGACCAGATCACTCAGGCCCATTATGTCGCAGAAACTCTTCTCAGAAGGGCCAGCCACCTGGCCTTTTCTTGGCAATGAGGCTGACTCTTTCTGAATGTAGATATGCTAATCTCTGTGCCCCCAAAGTGAGGTATAACAAGAACTTAGACAGGACCTAAAATAACTATGACTTTGAGAAACAGCTTTAGGCTGTCTTGAGGAGCAAGGATCACTGACCTTAGTGAAAATGAAAGGTGTGCAAGGATGTTCACTTAGCCCAGAGGACAGGAACATGGGAGATGAGACTGAGGCAAGACACAACTATAAAAGCCTCTGGTTTGGTGGCGAGGTGAGAGAAAGAAGCCCATCAGGGAATATGAAGAGAGAAAGATTACTAAGTAGTTTTTTCAGGTGACAAGTTTTTTCAGGTGAACAAATAATGTTCAGAGAATTTGAGTGTAAGCAAAGAAATGCCCAGATTCAGTGGTGGAGGTGGACTTGTTCTCATCAATTTCTCTGGTCCAGTGTGCCACCATTGAGGCTAAATTCTACACTGTGACTAGACAGCACAGGAAAGTGATACGTAAAAGGAGCTAGGACAAGAGGACAGCTAGAAAAGTAAGGTAAAAGCATTTAGTTCATGCTTGCTACATTGTAAGACCTTGCTAAATGCAATTATAGTTGTTGTCACAACTATTGTTATAAGAAAATCATTCTGGTCTGACCAGACCTACAGGATGGTGATACAAAGATTTGTCCTGAAGATCATCTTAGAATAGGAGCAGGCAATGGCAGGCATTAATGGAGGAAGGATTCCCAGGAAAACTGCTATTGGCATGAGCTGAATGTGCACAGTGGGAACTGAGCTGGTTGTCATGTTTAACTTAGCCGCAGGCTAGAGAAACAGACTTGAATAAGAGCAAACAGGAAGAAAACAACCGTGAAGAAGCACATACACTGAATAGAACTGGTTGTTAATACACCAAACCGATTTCTTCTTCTACACAGTCACTTCCTTTGCTAGTCAGAGAGGCTGGCACAATTCCTCAACAACTCTTTACAGAAATTTTGCTCTGTTTTTCAGCACTGTCATCAGTGTTATCAGAAAAGGAAAGCAGTACAAGGCAGCTCTTGCTCTTGGGCTTACATTGTCTTGTTGAGAGAATACATTAGGTAATTAACCAGGATTGTATAAAAGTATAACTCAAACAGGTAAGTACTACAATAAGTTAAGACAAAGGAGGTATCACTTTAGTTGTTCATTCTTTCATACATTCATCTATGGACTCATTACTTAATACATTCAGTGTCCACTGTGCCAAAGGATTTAAGAAGTATGAACTACATTCCTGGCCTTGAGTAACCTGTACTTTAAAGGGGAGCTGGTGACAATTTGTACAGGAATAGCTCCAGTGCAGGGCAGAATACGATCATGCTTTAAGAGGTCAGAGAGCTCACTTGTTGTTAACATTAGCAGAGGTGCTCAGTTGAGCAGCCTGGTGTGGCTTTCTGAGCATGGTGGTACCTGAAGGTTTTGTATAATCTAAACAATTAGGGGTGGAGGTGGCATGCCAAGCAGAAAGACACAATCAGGATGAATGTGGCTTTTATTTTACTACTTCATCTAAGGCACTGAACAAGCTTTTCTGTGCTTGAAAAATAAGGTATCCTTCCTTCACACAGACGCACAAAGGCAGACACAAGAAGAGAAAAGTCACTGTGATGAGTGTAATAATCAAGGTATGGGTGACACATAGCAAGGGGAAGGATAATGGGTAAGGGTGATAGCAAAGGGTGACAGGGAAGCAAGGGCACTCACTGCAGGCACAAGGGGACAAATGCAAAGGCTCTTTCCAAAGCACTTTGCAGGACAGTGTCTAGGGTAGTGAAGAGTGATGAAAAATAAGATAGTTAGATAGAAATCACATCATAAAGGTTGTTAGAGGACAACCTATAGAATTTGGGCTTTATTCAAGGACTTGGGAAACCAGTGAAAGACTTCAGAAAAAATACCGTATCACATTTGCATTTTAGAAAAATAACCATAGTCATGTTTTATTAAATACATTACAGTCACAGTCCAAGTCACAAAATGTTCGTAAATCCTGACTGCCTATATAGTGGCCCTCGATGATACATATCCCAGAACATATCCTGTCGTTAATCCACACACAACTGTTTTCAGGGCAAACTGTGATTTATAAATGTTTAACTTCACAGCAACCTTTATTGTCTCCAGAGAGATGCACAAACTTGCCTATAGTCAGCCAAATGGTGAGGAGCAGAAAGAAGATTTTCTGTCTCTAGGGCCAAACATTTACCCCTTACAGTGTGGAGGAGGGACAGACAGTGGACGGCAAGAGAAGAGGGAGAAGCCAAAGTCAGAATAAAAAAAAGCCAGAACAAAAGCAGTGGGGGTGAGAATAAAGACAAAGAGAAATAATCCAGAAGTATTTTGTAATGAGCAATCCTGGATGCTGTGATTAATTCTATGTGGGGAACAATGGAAAGGAGGACCAGAATACCCCTAGGTTCCTCCTCCTCTAATTTTTTGTGGGACTGCTAGTGAGAGGAACTGTAGGAAATGAAGGAGGTGAGGAGAAAATGAGCTGTGGGGTGTGGTGGTAGGGATCCCAGTGGAGAACAGGATAGACCCAGCAAGAGCTCAAGACAGGGCTAGGCTGGAGGAAGAGACTGGGAATCTGACTGATGGGCTAGGACAGGAGAGCTGATTAGACCCTGGGGAACCTAGATGACAGGAAAACACACGTCTTGCATTTGAATCCTGTAAGGGGCCTCTGAGACCCTTCAACTGAAGAAGTGACATAGTCAATAATAGCATTTTAAATGGCAAATCTCACACTAAGAATATCTAAGAAATAAAACAGAACTTTATTTTGACCCCCATTCCACAGTGCAGTGAAAATGACATTTCAGAAAGGGTCAGCCAGCACCCCATGCTCAGAGTGGAAACAAGTTCTACAGAGTTCAGCAAGCATTAGAGAAGAGGGTGGCTGTTATGTTTTATATCTGGATGTCCCCAGAGCCTCATATGCTCAAAGGTGATTGTATTAAGGGCTCTATGGGTAAAGGGGGCTTGTAACTGACTTGCTGTTAGTTGAGCCTGGTCTGAAGAGGCCAGTCACCGGGGTCATGGCCTAGAAGGATATAGCTCCCTTCCTTTTTTTTGTCTCCCTCTGCTTCTTGACCACTATACTGAGCAGTTCTCCTTTGCCATGCCCCTCTTCCATGCCATCCTTCCTTACAGCCAGCCAACCATGCAAGGACTGAGGCTATGAAACATGAGTCAAAACAAACCTCTCCTCCTTTAAGTATTATGTCTCAGCGATGAGAAAGTGACTGAGACAGTGGCCCTTAGCTGTCATCACTTTCCAGCCCCACACACCTAGGCCATCTTAAATCCTGGAAGATCTGAGGCCACTTCCATGAGGGCTCTGCTCTGGGCTCCTTGTGAAGACTATATGTCTCTCCTGCTCTGGAGGAGCTCTCCAGGGCTCACAAGCTCTTGTTTGTCATGTTACCTGGTGTCTGCAATGAGAAGGGTGAGAAAAGAGGTTAACAATTAAGCAGAGATGCTGCCATTGAATTAAAAAATCACTGAATTTGTAAAACTCACAACATTGGACTAAGTCTGATGGAGTGGGAAGAAGCCAATTCAGGGACTGCTATGGTAACAACATGTCATAGAGGGCCACATAAGTCATAAATAATTCATTATGCCCTTCTGCTCCTCTTTTGACCTTCACAGTGACTCTGTGAGTTGGTTTGATTATGCCCATTTCACAGACAGGGAAGTCAAAAGAAGTAAACAAATTAGACAAAATTATCCAGCCAGCAAATAGAAGAGCTCAGGTTAACACCTTGGTCTTTTGATGACAATCTTTAAGAGGAAAATGATCCTGTAGTCCAGTGTATTCATACCCCCCCAACATGTCCCACATATCAAGCTTCCACTCAGGGAATAAGGGTGCTCTAAACATCAGAGCCTCAAGGAGCGTCTGGAGAAGATCCCACCAGGCAACAAGGCTGTGCTGCCTTGAAGGACTCCTTTGGGCTTTGGAAGGGACTTCCCACAGACAGCTTCCTCCAACCACACCTCACTGCGCCTACCGCAGGGTCCCTGTGTAACTTAACTGTCGAGGCACAGTAGAAAGCCAGCTCTGAAAACCATCCTCTGATTCATGCTGAATGAATCCCTGGCATACGCTGTCAGAATTTAAGAGGCAGGTGTAGCTCCCCTGATGCTTTGAATAGGAACTATTTCAAATCATGTAGTGTCTCTGGGAACAATTTTTTAAAAGACTGGTTTATAATTTCTCTTCTGCAGCGGTAGTGAGAGGGTAGATTCAGAGGAGGAAGGAGGAAGTACTGATGGGGAAGGCAGGGAAAAATGTCATCCTGGATCACAGCTGCAGAGATCAAAGGAAAGGGGTGATCCTCACTTCTGGAGATGACAGGCAGGAAAAGAATACCTATGAAGGCAAAGGGGAGAAAGAAATTAGAAGTGGGAGGTGGAGCTCTCTGTACAGAGAGAAGTAGAGGAGCTTTCTATTTACCCGATGATAGCTGCTGGTCACAGCTTCCTGGTCCTACCACCATCATCTTCAGGGACATTCATACCAGCCAGGCTGCTCCTATGGGTCTCCGTTCTCCCTGCCCTTTGCCCCCACGGCACCCCTTCCCTCTACCTTTCCTACAGTGTATGCATCCCAACATCTGTACAGTTGCTCATTTAGTTCACCCTTTCTAGGTCACCTTCTTCCTCTGTTCTACCTCATTGATCAGAATCAAATGTTAAGTACCCAACAACCTGTGAAGAGCTCCAAACTTAGTGGTCCCTACTGCCTGCACCAGTGGTTCTAAAATTCTACATGTACCAGAATTGTGTGGAGAACATTTTAAACAGAGTGCTGAGAAGGGACTTGATAATTTATATTGCTAATAAGTTCCCAAACAATGCTGTCGCTTATAGTTTGGGGACACTAGCTTTTGTCATTCATTTGGCCTTAATCATGCACTGTCCTGTGTTAATAACTTCAGGAGTATCTTGATGAATCCGTGAGTAATTCAAAGGCAGGATGTATATGGGGCTGTATTCCCCACAGTATCTAACTAGCATATAATCAGAGCAGATACCAAATCTAATACACTGGTCAATATAAAGAGTTAGTGTTGATTTTTGATACAATTTATGAAGTAGACAGTTTGTCCACAGGAACCTTCCACTTTATTCTCTTCCTTTCCTCCACCAATGTATGTGGCTAGCTCTTTCTCCTTCAGGCTGACCCAGGCCCCCCATAATTACATGCCTGTACTACACAATTAGGGCCCTCCCATTTACACCTCCAAGTTTAGAGGCAATTTTTATATGAAGTTTGGCTAAGAAGGAGAAAAGTGAAGTGAGACAGTAGCTGCAAAGATGTATGAGACTCCAGAAGTCATTCTGTTCTGTCCTGTCCTGTCCTATCTTGTCCTGTACTATCCTATCCTATCCTATCCTATCCTATCCTATCCTATCCTATCCTATCCTATCCTATCCTATCCTGATGAGAGATTCTTGAGCTTATCTAAATATTCCTAGAGAGAAACCAGGGACAGGCAAGGGGTGATGAGGTAGCAGAGGGGACTTGTGGACAGAAGGAGGTCTCTGAGAAGGAGGCCATGTAGACTACAGAAGAAAAGATGAGTTTAGGCTGGGAAGGGATATACTTCCCATTGTAGATTGAAAAAGGAAAGGATAGGCTTAAATGCAGGAATCATGAGACTTTAGACTTTAGGTGACTCCTAGCTCTAACATTGTGTGATTCTATGAAATTAAATTTCCATGGAGTCTTTGGTTTAATATGTCACCTCTTCTTGGCAGAGCTGTAACCCAAAAGAAATAAATCTTTCATGAGAAACTGTGTGACTATAGGAGGCTTGCAGGGGGGCTTCCCAGTGGCCTCAAATACCTTGCTACACAAGGCGGGATTGAGAAAATGGGATAAACTGTGACAGTGTGAAGACTAGAGCAAGCTCATAGAGGTGATAATTTTGGAGCCAGCTGTTGAACCTTGCTCTGCCTGAAGCCAACAGTCATCTGGTCATTCCATTCACCCTCATTTATTCTGTAATCACCTAACTTGCAAGAAACAAGCGAAGTATTAAGAATAGCTTCTTCCTAACCCTCAGGAGGGAGCCTGGGAATGCCAGGCCCCATCCAGACCCTCGCAGGGACTCAGCCCATCTCTGGGGCTCTCAGAAATAATTGACATGGATAGAAATAATAATAGCAGTAACAACTTTTAAAATGCTTTCTCGATTAAATTAACATGCAGAGTGTCTGGTATGTCATATCAGAACTTGAATCATGGGAAGAACTCAGTAAGTTAAGATATTCTCATCATCTTCCTCCTTTTTCCCTCTTCTCATTATCATCATTACTGTGCCAAGAACCACACATTCTTCCTGATTACAAAAGTAATAGATGGTCTGTGTTTTAAAAAATTCTAACAAGAAAGGCATTCATAACAGAAGTCTAAGCGTGGTGTGCTGGAAAGAGGAAAAGCACTGGATTTAGGTTTCCCATGTGTACATTCTGGCTCTCCTGATTCTAACTGATCTTGGACATTATTTAATACTTCGGTGTCTCATGTTGCTTATTTATTCAGTGAAGGCAGTAATAGTTCTTTCATTACCCAGGTTCTTGGAAAATTTAAATAAGATGGCATATACATAAAAAACTAAACACAGTTCTTGGCACATAGCAGTCAGTTTTAATTTATTACTGTTGATATTATTACTGTTGTAATAACCATAAACCATAAGCTACATCTCAGAAGTAACTAATGTTAATAGTTCTTTGCATATTTTTTCAAACTATACACTCACATACACATACATATTCCATAGGATCCAAAACATACATACATGCCATTTCACATTTTTTTACCTGCCAAATATTATAGATTACTCTGAAAACAGCCCCAAAACTATATAATTATAAACCATTTTGCTTCTGTTATATCCCCTCTGAAAGGTGCATCTTCATATCACAATTGTTCCAAGGAAACCTCTGAAGGCTGAAGTACATAGAGGAGAGCCCAATAGCCCTTTTCTGCAAAGGACTAGATAAAAATAATTTGGGCTTTGCAGTTCATATGGTCTCTGTGTGCAACTACTTAACTGTGGTTGCCATGGGAAAGTAACCACAATGTACATGAATGAAGGAAGGCAGTAGTGCTCCAATAAAACTGTATTTAGGAAGACTGAAATTTGGATTTCACATAATTTTCACATGTCATAAACTATTATTTTTTGATTTAAAAAAATACTACTTAAACATATTTTTTTAAAAACTATGCTCATCTTTCAGGTTGTACTGTCCTGAGTTGGCCTACAGGTCACAGGAAGCCAACCAGCCTGCCATTCTGGAGCTTAGTTGAAAGTTGGAGGGACCATAGAGCGTAGAAATAACATCTTAATATACCTTTTTTGCCTTCTCAGTGGGAGGTACCTTTTCTCTCCTTGAGATGCATTATCCCACCAAACCTGTTAAAGTCTGTCCTACCTAATGGCTAGCATTAAGAAATCAACCAATAACAAATGCTGGCGAGGCTGTGGAGAAATAGGAACCCTTCTCCACTGCTGGTGGGAATGCAGACTGGTGAAACCACTGTGGAAATCAGTTTGGAGATTCCTCTGAAAACTAGGTTTAGAGGTCCCATTCAACCCAGCTATCCCCCTGCTGGGTATTTTCCCAGAAGATCTAAAAACATCATATCACAGTGATGTATGTTCATAGCAGCACAATTTGTAATTGCTAAAATGTGGAAGCAACCCAAATGTCCATCCACTGAGGATTGGATAAGAAAATTGTGATACTTTTATATAATGGAATATTACTCAGCTGTAAAGAAAGATAAAGTTGAGGGTTTTATAGGTAAATGGTCACAACTAGAGACCATACTCATAAGTGAAATAAATCAAACATACATGTGCAAGCACCACATTGTTTCTCTAGCGTAAAGCCTGAAAGAGTTAATTTAAACTAGGAGATATGATAGACATTGTGAATTGATAGGAAAGCACTCAAAGGTAAAGGGTAACTGGGATATGGGAAAAGAGAAGGGAAAGAAGGAGAAAGTTTGTATGTATGTACATGCAGGATAGTTAACAAGGCTGTTCTACTGTCTTGTATTTCCTTGCTGAAAGAAACTGTCAATGAGGCCTTGGTTGATCAGCTTTGTATGTCTATATCTGTTTTCATGAGAAACTACTTTGAAGATATCAATATGTAATACAACATTGTTAATTCCCTACCACTCTGTTTGTAACTCTGCAATGTCTGTACTGATCCTTTGCTATTTTGTAAAATGTTGTCTGTCTGTTAGTATTTTTTCCCTTTTAATTCTAAAATTTAAAAAAAAAAAGTCTGTCTTACCTGTCAAAGTTTAGATCAAATGCACATGTTCTGTGGAGCTGTCCCAAAATTCCTTTACAGATTTAAAAGCTATACCCTCCTCAGAGTTTTCTCTGTGCTTCTTTTATACCACTAGGTACTGTACTTCTTGGACTACCAAAATCCCTACTGGGCCTCCAACTCCTTGTGTATCCAGTTACCTATCATACATCTGGAACTAGTACTGTACAGTGCTTAACAACTGAGAAAAGT